TACGAGTAAAATGGTAAAATGAAGTTTAATAGTTATTTCTCAATCCCTGAAAATTTGATGGCAATCGGATGAAAACTCGAATTTTGCGAATCAATTTTGTGTGTGGCAATTTCATCGTGGACACCCTTTATCAGCCGGTCCAGCTAGGTATTCCGTTTGCTGCTATTGACGGAGATGGTGCGATGATGATGGTGATGATTTTATGATGATCCTGGGTTAAAGGTGGACAGTCTATACGTAAGACTCAGCTTACGATAGCTGCTTCCGAAAACCGTGCGCGATTCACCTGAACACTTTTTTTTTTACACGAGAGCGATGGAAACGCGGTAAAAAACGAGTGTCGTATGAAGAGACCAGGACGTTGTTAACTGGCTCAGCGCTCGATACGGAATGAACCATAGCCGTTATCGACTCATAGAAATGATGGAAGTGAGGTTGTAGAACTGATCCAGTTCTTAATACCCTTGGTGTAGCTCAAAAGTCCAGTGCCGTACTGTTTCATACTGTCAACTTCACCATCCAACAATTTGGCAACAAAAGCAGCGGCCAAACGCAAGCAACTACAGCAGCTGGAAATTTAAAGTTGAGCTGTTGCTGGTTCAAGAGGATCTCTGGGAGTACGTGACTGGCACGTGCCTAGTGCAAACGGAAGCGAACGCAGCAGCGGTAGCGGCGTGGCGAAAATGTGACCAGAAAGCAAGGGCTACAATCGGTCTTCTGGTAGGCGATAGCCAACGGAATCTGATCCAGGACACCACTACGTCAAAGGATGCGTGTGAGAACTTGAAAAGGAACTACGCGCGTACGACGCTCACGTCGAAGGTATCCATCCTCAAGAAACTTTGCGACATGCGGTACACCGATGGGGAGGAAATCGACAAGCACATCACCGAGATGCAAGATCTATTCGAACGGCTGTCGATAACAGGCCAGGTGCTGGATGCTAATTTGCAAGTTGCGATGGTCCTTCGAAGCATGCCGGATTCTTTCAATCCGCTTACAACGGCACTGGAAAGCCGTTCTGATGCTGACCTAACGTTTGACCTATTCAAGACACATTCGGTACTGAAGGCAGGTACGAAGAGGCAAATTGTTTGCCACCATTGCCATAAAGTTGGCCACAAGCTGAAGGATTGTCGTTTGCTGGCCCAAAGCAAGGATGCAGAACCACCAAAGAAACATGATTCAAGGCAGTCCAGTTAGACCTACGAAGGCGAAAGCAGTTCGAAGCGGTTTCCTACGAGTATGCTTTCATGGCAACCATAGGCAGTGACGTCAACATGTGGGTGGTTGACGAGTCCGCCTCACTGTCATTTTCGACTGGCTACCGGCTGGCTACCAGGATCAAGATAGTTAGCTGCGGTGTTAAAGCAGTGTGCGAGTGTTGTTTGGAGGGCAAGTTTGCCCGGCTCCCTTTCCCCAAGCAATCCAAGACCAAAACGAAGCAAGCACTCGACCTCGTGCACACGGATCTATGCGGACCGATGAACACACCAACGCCAGGTGGTGCCGGCGCCGGTGGTGTAGTGGTAAGCGTGACTGCTTTCTAACACCCCAATGGGTCTGGGTTCAATCCCAGCCGAGGTCGGTGGGATTTTTCTGAGGCATAAAAATCTCTGGTCACGTCTTCCTTCGGAAGGGAAGTAAAGCCGTTGGTCCCGGCCCATGTATGTTGAATGGGTGCGATATCCCACGCAGGTGTGGAAGCTGCCTTCCTGCACATTCGATTGCCGTCAATGGATGGCAATCGATGTCCGTCGGTGATTGGCACTTGATTGCGGAACAGAGACCGACGTTAAATAAAGGAAAAAAGAACGCCAGGTGGTTGTCGGTACTTCATGGCGATTACCGATGACTTCACGCGGTACTCGCTGGTGTATTTTTTGAAGAAAACGTCGCAAGCAATCCATTACATCAAGCAATATGTGCAGGAGATGAAGACAACGTTCGGCAGGTCACCGAAAGTAATTCGATCGGACCAAGTTGGTGAGTTCAAGAACCAGCAGCTAGAGAATTTTTGTCGTCAAGAGGGCATTCGGCAGCAGTTTAGTACCAGCCACACGCCCCAGCAGAACGGAGTAGCTGAAACTGAAACGAAAAATCGTTCGTTAGTTGAGATGGGAAGGTGTATGCTGCTTGATGCCAGAATGCCAAAGCAATACTGGGCCGAAGCAGTAAACACAGCGAAACCGTTTGCCGTCAAGTGCCGTGCCGGAAACGCCATACGAGCTGTGGACTAGACAGAAACCAGACGTAACCCATCTTCGATTGTTCGGATCACAAGCCTTCGTGTGGGTCCCAAAAGAAAAGCGTACGAAATTGGACCCAAAGTAGACGAAAATGACCTTCGTCGGTTATTCGCAGCAGCACAAGGGCTACCGTTTCCTGGATCTAGCGACGAACACGCTCGTCGTATCTCGAGATGCCAGGTTCATTCCAGCAGATGAGGTTCGGGAAACCGAACCTCACGAGGGAAGTATCGTTTTTTATCCTTTCAAACCTGTTTCCGTTGAGGATGATGAGAAACCCGTTGTTACAGCCGATAAATTCGAGTTGGAGCTTTCAGAATACGATGAAGACGATTTCGAAGGGTTTTCTGACGAATCCTTCAGCGCCGGAGAGGATTTTGACACTGCCACCGAGGACGAAGCGGAGAATGTACGACGGTCCAGCCGTAAAAACAAAGGTGTGTTACCGTTGCGGTATCAAGAAACCACCCGCCTAGTGTCCAATCAGCACGATGAACCCCGTACCTATGATGAAGCTATACGCAGCCAGGAACGCCACGACTGGAAGAAGGCAATGGATGAGGAATTCGCAATCCTTCAAGAAAACTCGACATGGGAGATCGTGAAGCTGCCATCGAAACAAAAACCAGTTGGATGCAAATGGATCTTCAAGAAGAAGCTGGATTAGTCTGGCCAAGTGATCCGCTACAAAGCACGACTCGTAGCACAGGGCTACAGACAGAAGTTCGGCACCGACTACGACGAGGTTTTTGCTCCAGTAGCCAAACAAACTACGCTTCGAACGCTGTTGACGATTGCCACTCGTCGATCCCTGCAAGTCAAGCACATCGATGTGAAGTCAGCATACCTGCACGGAGACCTCACCGAAACCATTTACATGTAGCAACCAATGGGCTATCAAGTAGGATCTGAGGAGGAGGTGTGTTTGTTGAAGCGTAGCATATACGGGCTGAAGCAAGCGCGTCGTATCTGGAACCAGAAAATCACGGAAACGTTGAAGCACTTGGGTACTTGCAATCCAAGGCACTTGGATACAAGCAATCCAAGGCAGACCCGTGCCTCTACGTTCGGCGCATCGATAATCAATTATCGTTCATATTGTTGTACGTCGACGATGTGTTAATTGTGAGTCTCGACAACAACGAATATGAGAGGATCTACTACTACCTGTCGAAAAGATTCAGGCTCACGTGCCTGGGGGATGTCACCAAATACCTCGGCATACAGGTGGAGCAAACGTGTTCCGGCAGTTTCTTGTTGAACCAATCAGCTTACATCCGGAAGATTGCTGAAAGGTTTGACATGGGCCAAGCGAAGCCATCAAAAATACCCATGGATCCTGGGTATCCAAACGTGAAGCAAAAGGAGGAGGAGTGTGCCATCCGGCGAGTGTTACCAGAGTCTGGTCGGTGCTTTGCTATACGTTGCGGTGTGCACCAGACCCGATATTGCGATTGCTGTGTCTATACTGGGACGAAAGGTGAGCCAACCTACCGAAGCGGATTGGTCCGAGGCGAAGAGGACTTTACGGTACCTTAACGCAACAGCTGACTTGAAGCTTGAGCTTGGCGGAACCGGCGGTCTCGAAGGATTTGTGGATACAGACTGGGGCTGGTGACAAATCGGATCGAAAATCAAATTCCGGGTTCGTTTTTAAGCTCGGAGGTGGTCCAATCAGCTGGGCCGCAAGGAAACAGCAATGTGTCAGCCTTTCGTCTACAGAAGCTATCCGAGTCTAGTCAGGAGCTACTCCGACTGTTGAAGCTAATGGAGGACATAGGCGAGGTCGTCGATGGTCCAGTGGTGATGCACGAGGACAACCAGAGCTGCATCGCCATGCTGTCATCCGAAGGAGGGAGCCGACGAACCAAACACATTCATACACGTTTCAACTTTGTGCGAGAACTGATGTCGACTGGATGGCGTGATGGAAGTCAGGTATTGTCCGGTCGCAGACATACTCACGAAGCCTTTGGCGAGAGTTAAGCTGGAGAAGTTCCGTACCATGATCGCTCTGAAGCTCTTCAACGTTGAGGAGGAGTGAAGCAACGTGAAGAGCTTCAGTGTAGAAATAATATAGGTCTAAGTTAGCCATGAGTTATTTGAATAAAATTCGTTCTTTTGTCGTCGCTCTTACGGACTAGACGCTATTTTACTTTGCTCCATTCCTCCCAAGATTTCGAACCTCAAATGCCACGTTGATATGGAAACCATACCAAGGAAGCGTTTTCCAAAATTGGTCACAAGCGAGCGGTAGAGAGCATTAAAACGGAGGTATCCGAGAAATCTTTTGAAATTTTGGAGATGAAACCTAAAAACTATATTCGAAAAATAAATGAATTGGCATCTACTTTCATATTATGTGATAAAACTATGGGCTTTGATCATGAAAATAGGAAAACGACATCAAGTCAGTTTGTCCCATCAAGCAAAGGAATCGCATATCAGTCCCATCCTGATATTCAATCGTCCAGAGGTCAAGGTTACAGTTCTGCTTTTTGAATCGCCATATTTTTCGCCATGCAAGCTGCATTGCTACTAATTTTAACTTGTGAAAATATCAATTAATTTACTATGATTTTTTTAAATATTTACATGGAAATTGCGCTTCACAACTTCAACTGCTATTTTCTCAATGCCTACTTTTTTCATATGGGACTGATATGGGATTATAGCCAGTATAGATCTTCGACAGTTTTCAAACTTCAGTAGACTTATTATTAGGACTGTTATTATTCTATATCGCAACAGCTTTCCTACCCAGGATATAACAATGTGGAGCGACAGAAACCCATCATGCCTACCGGAAACCAAATGATGTCTCCCGGTCCAATGCAGGAGATGACCACTACCCGCCATGACTATGTGGCAAAAACAACACCCAAGCGATACAAGATCATCCCTGAGGGTCACATTCGCAGTGTCAGCGCTCCATTTGAAAAGCAAACGGTGAACAACCTCTCGTACAGCTGTCCCGACATGGCTCGCTTTACGCCGGCTAAATCCTGTAAACCTATTCGAGAGTACAGGAGATCTGAAAGTTTGTATTTCCTTCAACTTCTTGATCTATATTATTTGACTCACATCCGGATCATCTTTCAGTACCGATGGATTCGGAAACGACGACAATGCTGAGCTATCCCCCAATGTGTCCTGCACCCAAGGAGGACTATCCGTGGGCAAAACGAGCCGGCTACCACGCGCCGTCGGTACCGATGGAGCACGATACGACGTACAAGCAAAGCTACTTGACCAGCTGTGGCGCAGAGCGTCCCAAAATGATTCCGCCTTTCAATAACTTACATGTACCTGCTGATTCCGGGTTCGAATCAAAGACAGTCTACAAAGAAAGTTATCATAGCGCGTGTGGCGAACGGCCGCCAGCGATCCGCCCCGTTCATCACCTGCGAATTTCGAACCAAAAGCTGGAAGATGACACCGTTTACAAGGTATTACCTAGCTATGTGGTGGATCATAACAAATTCTTTTGATCGAACAAATCCAAAACCTGCCGATCAAAATCTACTACATTTTCTGCACACTCTAAACACACTTATGCATACATGAAAGGTAATTCGGTTTTTTTTCCACGTCACTGTTTGATAAAATCTTGAACTAACCGTTTTCGCATGTGGAACGATCAATTTGTAGTTCCCTACAGTTCTTTTCCTAGCATGCTGCCACTGACATCTCACAAATACCTACGCAATAGATTTTGATTGATTCGAAAACGGTATCACTTTTTCTGTTACATATTCTGCCACCCAACACAAATTCAATAGTTTGTTAAAAAAAATCAACAACAATTCCTTGTACAAACACTCTGCCTAAGAGGTTAACAAGTGAGAACTGTTCAGATTTAAACATCTTATCTTAATCTTTCAGTTATCCTTCCCAACGTACTGCAACACAGAACGTCCTGCACCGATTGTTCCTAGACCTGCACCGTTGATAGGTGATGGGCCGATCCAGGAGATTACGACCACCAGGCACGACTACGTTTGCAAGAGCGGCACCAAGCGGGAACCGATCGTACCTCAGAACTTGCTACACATTCCATCTGGTAGGCTGGAAAGCAACACCGTGAACCGGTTGTCCTACCCGGCCAACAAGGAAAACGTTCAGCCTCCGAAGTCCTGCAAACCAATTCTGTCGTACAAACGGCCCGAGAGTAAGTATCGATGATTCTGCAGTTTGTAGTTCGTTTAACGAAAAACTCTTATCGATCTAGTTCCGATGGAAAGCGATACAACCACCAAGTTGAGCTACATGCCGGTTTGTCCGGCACCAAAGGAGAACTACCCGTGGGCACAGCGAGCCCGGTATCAGCCACCACCACTGCCAATGGAATCGGAAACGACGGCTAAACTGAGCTACCCGCCACCCGGAGAGTACATTGAAGAGTATTGCGGCTCCGGAGCAGCCTGTGGCCCATGTTGCCAATCGTGTGATCCTTCCATCGTCAATTGCTGTGCAAATCTGGCACCCACTGGAGGCTGCTATCCACGGGCAGCGATCGTAAGCTAGAGGTTAGGAAGCAAACTGGATTAGACCACATCCACATATACATTTCTGCTAGCAACATGTACGAACTATGTGTAGAATGGAAAACTGTATTAGCAGCAGCATACCAAATTTTGTACCATACATTGAAGGAGCAAATTCTTCACGTAGGATAACATATTTATTGAAACTTTATCTTTGTAGTTTATATTTACGTTATTGGTTAGCGAAAATTATACGTCTCCTGATAAGACCAAAACAAGATGCCTTACTATGTGTTCCCGAAATGAGAAGAGCGTTTTCAGTACGAAAGAAATGACATTCTATATATAAGTATCTACAATTTCCGACGAGACCACGGAACCAAAAACAAAACTCGTCTTCTCTAGCATAGTGTGCTTTTCAGCCGCGCCGCATTACCCGTACAGGTATCGAAAGGACGCCCTTTCCAACACAAGAAGCCTATAGACCCATTTGCTTCAATACTGACACATACAGTGAATCTCAAAATTGAGCGTACAGTACATCCTGGAAAAGGAAAAACTGCTCTACGTGCACAATTTAAAAAGATAGATTTACCAAAAAGATAGATTTTTGCTGGTTTATCAAACATTTTATCGGTCATCGGTATAAAATTGGACTTATTTGGGTGAGTGCGTAAGAAGTTAGAGCTATTTAAAAAAATACATTTTCTAGAAATGCAATGAACCAGCCTTTTGAAATTTTGCCCATTTGCAGTCACAATAAAGATCTTTTATATTACCACTAATTTTACTAAAATCCAAAGTCCAAACCTGTACCGAAAAATCAATGAATAGTTGGTCAACCACCAACCAAGATTTCAAAAATCAATTGATTCTGTGTTTCAAAAAATAATTTCCATTCAGGTGTACGCTCAATTTTGCGATACCCTGTAGGCAATTGTAAGAAACCTACACCTGCATTCCCGCATTGCCACAATCCCTAGTAACCGCGTAACTTTGACCTATCTATTTCAAGGAGCTTATCGATAAAATAAAATTTACACCCACGCCTTCCGCTTACCCCGCATAGCATTCCAACACCCTACAGTAGGATAATCAAGGGGAAGTTCGAATCCAAAAATGAGAACGCGGTTCAATTTTTGTTTTGTTTTTCTTCCTCCTTCTTCATAATCTGTTTATGTTGCTTTTCTTCATTTTTTTTTCTATATAAACAATAGTTGCATTGTATGGGATATTATCGCGTTTGGACATGCCAATCACCTGACCTACTATCCGGCATGTCGATCTCAATCCCCGCGAATACACAACAATGTATGGAGTACCTATGAATATGCCTTACTTCCCAATCTGATTTATTCCTTTACTAAATTTTTATCGCCTCCGGATGCAACACTTCCGAACTAAGAGTTCTTGTGGATTAGGTACTTTGAAAAACATATTTAGATTAAAAAAATAATAATTAATACACTTTTTAACAAAACAATCAAGTGCAAGCCTTTTACTGCTTTGTCGCTAGGCGTGTGGGAATAAATATTTGGAACCGCGGAAGCATTCAATAAACTCAACTAGGGTTGGTATAAACAATTACGGAGCTGGACGCCTCCGCGAGTACTAGTTGTGGGCGGGGTTTCTCTCTAAATCAATAATGGCGCAAACGCCGGAAAAATTTCATGACAACACATAAAAATTTAATAAAACGAAGCACCTGTATATTTGCCTGTCTCATTCAGTAGATTTTTATGCTGCTCCTACTTCACCATGTGTTGTAATTGTTTTCTAACAAACTAACCAGTTGCGGATGTTGCATACAAACTGGGATTTCGCGTACCAAATTAGCTTTTTGATCTCGTTTGCTAATCGTACTCTCGCTTTTAAATACTATACTGAACAAATCACGAAATGATCGGAAATTTTGTTTTTTTTTTTGTTTAACTGCTTTTACTGCTGATGCTGCTGCTGGTAAAAGCTGTGCTGTTGCTTTTGGTGGTGACCGATCATATAGCGTCCACGGCGTCCACCTCCTCCTCCGAGCTGTACTCGTCGCCGAACTCGATGTCGTCGTCCAGGTCGTTGTCGACGAATGTGACTGTGTCGTTGATGCGGACCGACTCCGGGAACTCACCGTACGTCTTGAGATTTCGTGCCTCGTCCGGTGTGTACTTGAGGATGACGTCCGCTTTCGAGTCCTGGTAGTCACGCAAGCCGATAAGAATGATGTCGCCCTGGTTGATCCAGACCTGATGGAGAAAAGCAAAAACAAAACGGTTGTGAAAATGGCGCTCCGGTCTCTAGAGTTTGTAATTATGGTATTGTATGGTTTCGATTTGAGCACGGTCTGATTTTGTCGCGGTCCAGTTTTGGGTAAAAGCTAAAATATTTAACAAGTTCACGTTACAATGTTTGTATTTTAATGATGTAAATTAAGCGAGAAAAGTAGAAAGAAGAGAAAATTATCAGCTGTTCAATCAGGGCTGTTTTACAAAATGCTTCAGAGTCACATTTGTAGGGCTGGTAGCGATCAATGCTATCAAAATAGTGATTTTAGTGACCCTGTTGAAGAAATAAGTGACCAAATGGTGACTTACAGTTGTAAAAAATAACTAAAAGTAAAGCCAAGAAAATAAAATTAATCGTTCTGATGGCATACCAAAGTTTATGACCAAACTCTTAGAGATGGGAACAAACTCGACTGGTTTGATTGAAAGCGAAAAGTAAACTAATTGAGAAATCCAACTTAAACTCCTGCGCGCCTGGTGGCAGGAATAAGCACTAACCGACGGTGATAAGTCTGTGACAGCCCTTGACAATTTCATTGATTGTTTGCAAAATTGTTTAATTTCAATGTAATTTCATGCAAATTTCTTGTCAGCATGGATGAACCTTGTACAAAATGCATAAAATTATTTTGTAATGCATTGTTCCTAAATAAAAAGCTACTTCAAGACAGTTAAATTACAGAAAACATGTTAAGGTTTGAAATCATCTGCTGAATAAACAGCAGACAAAGTTGGACGACTAAATCCATCGACGAAAAACTATTAAATAGGCCGATTGCTCGGTGTAGCACCAGACGAAAAACGATTTAATCTGCTGATTAATACACCGACTGAAATTAATTTTTAAGTGGCAATAGATTTAGTCGGTGGACGAATCGGGTGATCTGGATGATGTTTGTTTATTTGGAAGATATTTTCGAAACAAAGCACGATAAAATTCAGAATTATATACCATTATTACGAGTACTACTTTTTTGCTCGGATCATGTTTTGACTCCCACAGAAACTCGCTAGAATAACTACAAAATAATAGTTTTTTGGTTGAAATTTCAAAAATGTATTCAGTTTGACACATTATTTCGGACTTATCACCGCTGCGATTGCAGCGCCACGGTGGCCGATTGAAACTTGGATTTGTCAATAGCGAATTCGTTTATTATTCAGTTCCAACCTGGATCGGGTATCAAGATTGGGTCTGCTTGTTTTCTGACAAACGTCAGTTTTTCCTTTGTTTTTAAAACCTAGCTCAGGTTGAGGTTCGCACTGACAAAAAGTTCGGTTTCATTATTATTTTTGGCTCACTCAGTACCAGAACAACGGTCCCAAGCAGTCCCAAGCTATTTCACTCACCTCTGCATGTTCTGCATGAATCCACACACCCCTGATGTTATCTGTCAAACTTTCATAGCGAATCAAAACAAACATAGTGTAGTAATAGAATTTCAACTAGAATAGGGTACGTTAATCGTTTGCTTGGGACCAATAGGCTACTAAAGTGGTGAGCCAATTTAAAATCGTTAGTTTCGTATTGATTGTTGGTATAAGTCTAGTATGCAGATCGAAGCGAAACAAAAATTGAAGCACGCGAAAAATCATGAAATTTCGCTAGCGAAAAAGGTTGTGAACAAATGTTTGTGGAACATTTTCCAGTTTCCTTTTATCGCAGTTTACAGTTCTTGTGAAACGAAATCGATCAGTTTACACCTCCGGTGAAGTGAAAATCTAGGGGCCTCATAGCCTAGTCAGTAAAGGCACGGTATTACCAACAATCAATACGAAACTAACGATTTTAAATTGGCTCACTACTTGACTAGCCTATTGGTCCCAAGCAAACGATTAACGTATCCCATTCTAGTCTAAATTCTAGTACTACGCAATGTTTGTTTTGATTCGCTATGAAAGTTTGACAGATAAAATGAGGGGTGATTGGTTTTTCCTATGTTTCGAGGGGTGAATCGATTAGCTTGGGACCGAAGATAGTACCAGAGCTGAGCCAAAAAGTTGAGCACGTTATTTCGGGACCTTCTAGTCTTAGAGTTACCTCTATGGTATTACCAAGCCGGAGGCGGCGGGTTCGATTCCCGGTCTGGTCGAGGGAATCTTTCGGGTTGGAAATTTTCTCGACGTCCCTGGGCATAGAGTATCATTGTGCTTGCCACACAATATACAAATTCATGCATTTAATTGGCATCGAAAGCTCTCAATTAATAACTGAGGAAGTGCATTTAGAACACTAAGTTGAGAGCACGCAATAAGCTAATATGCACTAAGCAATAAGCTTGAAATGCGAATAAGAAGAAGAAGAAGAAGAAGTGAAAATCTGACAGATACGCTCTCCCGAAACGTCAACTTTTCGCTTAGCTGCTGCTCTTTTCGCGAGCGCTGCATGCGCGAAAAAAAAAATAAACGTAAGCGAAAAAGATGCGATCCACAACATTAGATTTCGCTGGATCGTATCTGTTTACAGTTCAAAGCGAAGTGAAAATTTTGCCAATTGCGTTTTTCACGCAGGTGAAAAATATAGTATTTTGTATGAGATTTACGCTTCGCTTCGATCTCTTCGGCCTATAATAAACGAATTCGCTATAATATATTCAATAATCAAACACTTAATCCACAGAGTTGCTTTGATCTCCTTCACTCCTTCTCAACCTCTGTTGGACACTGTGCCGAAACACAGTATGGCCCACTGTTCGGCACGTTAGGACGCACGTTGACGAGTAGAACACAAAAAAAATCTAAGGGGAAGAGGTGACAATTGGCTTCTTCCTCTTTTATTTCTATCTCTATCTATCTCTATCTCTATGTGCGTAAGCATGAAATCGGCCAATCAGGAGCGGGTTCACGTTTGACAGAAAAGTGGCCCATTTTCGCCCTCGCATTGTCACCTCTTCTCTTAGAAAAAAATATAATATAAACAAAATATAAAGCAAATCGTTGCTAATGGGGTGTTTATATCTGTGCGGATTTACTAGCGCTAGTATACTAGCCAACTAGCTCGAATTTCAGTTGTTCCTGACGAGTACACTAGCGGTAGCAAATCCGCATAGATGTAAACACCACATAAGGATGAATACTGTGGTTATTCCAAAAACTACATGGGACAACCCTATGAGGTTGTACGCAATGGTGACGTAGGACTACGTGGTCTTATAATATAATAAATCTTATTTGTTAACGCAGTAGCACGAGCTTGTGTTTTGTGTAGGAATAGGAATTTGAGCGGTGTTCTCTCTGTTTATACTCTTAAGTATGACTATGATTGCCCTGAAAAGAAGCTTTTAATATGAATTTCAGTTAGGAAATATTCAGAAATTTGACTCTTTTGGAAAATCTCGGTGGCCCTGGAAAGGGCCGATGGTAGTACAGGCTTAAAGCTTTTGGAAGATGATCATGCCGTGTAGGCAGCAGGATCAGCAAATCGGACCGGACAATTCCATATTCTTCGGTTCAATGATTGGGCACTCGCAAGAGTCTCGGTCCGTCTGCTGCTGGACAGGGGTTGAACTGGTGTCTGCGATAGGTTGGAAGGCCGCAGAATATCAGTGTCCATCCAGTTAAAGCTCGTCCCCGTTTTAGTTTTTCTCGTTAAACTCCTTCTCACAAAAAGTTGGTTAATCTAAGCCTTTAGCAGAAGGACACTTAACACCTTTTTAGGCAAATTTATGATCTTGTTGTACTTTTAGGCATCCCTAGAAAATAGTGTAATTTCATGTTTTTTGTGGTCCTTCGAAGATGTCGAACAGCAGAATGGCAACCAGCAAGTGTAAGGAGCAGAGCGGTGAAAGTCAATTAATCGATTTCCTCTTTTGATGACCATGGCTTCACTAATTTATTCCGCACTATTGCTGCTATGCTCTTCTATCATCCAGAACAACAAACGTACAAATAAATGTGTTTGCCGTCGAGTTATTAACGAAACAGGAAGTCGACGAAAAGATAATCGATCAAAATTACTTGCACCCCTGTTTGGTTACAAGATAAGAATTTTGGAGAGCATTTTGTATGGTCGTTGGGGGCGTGTGGTTCTGAATATGTCGATGAGTGTGTAAAATGCTACGCAATTGCATCCTTCCTATTCGCACACGCCCGAAGATCGGAGGCGAATGGCACTTCGACTTGTTTCGTCTACAAACGACTCTCTGATGACTGTGTTGGTGAAGCAGCATATGCATGTACGTAATTGGTGGTTTTGTTAGTTATTTCGACGCTTTTGGACAATGCTTGACATTTACCACTTTTTCAATAGTTTTTTCTTAAAAAAAAATCTACAGTCGCAAGCATTGTTATCGATATGTAGAAATATTTCTGATCGATTGGTGATAAACATATTAAAATTGGTCAAGAGGCATCTGAGTTCTTAACGTTCAAAATCTTTCATAATATCGTTACATATTCCATGTTCGGTTTTTACAAAGCGTACCCCCATATTGAAATCACAGACGTAGTCCTACGTCAAAAGTTCGAGGTCTGTGACATGCCACATTTCGAAAAACTGTAAGCATTTTCTGCACCATGAATCCATTTCATCTGATTCGCAGCGAAAACCCCTGCAGCTTGTGGTTTTGTCCAAACCAGCTTCTATTACAAGTTCTTCCACACCAAAGTTGGTCGATAGGGTCTTTTCGATACGGCAGTCAAGACGTCGGTACCGGATTACCCGAGGGGGCGACTCTATCAACAATGCAGATTTTTTTTTAATTTGCTGTGGATAGCTGCGCGGACGCTGGCTAGATAGAAAGAAGATTGATGACGATTCTGAAGATTTCCTGCAAAAAGATGATGCGCGATGCAAGTATATGTGAGAAATGAAAGAAGATTTTGCGAACATTGATTAGTGTGCGATTTGTTTGCATCTAGAATTCCGATTTAGATGTGTCGCTTCCCTCGGGATTACCTCCAACGGGGGTTTTCAAAGACCTAGAAGATCTGGTTGTCCAATACGACGGTACGGTTCGAAA